TGGATTTTGGTTTCTCGCAAGAGGCTATGTCTGGACGTAGTTTTTCTTGCTGGACATCATTGTCACTGGTAAATTAGATTTTTTTTCATGAGAACTGGCTTTCATTAATTTACGTGATAGCGCACTCTAAAGATACCTGTTTAGTCAAACACACTTTAATATTGAAAAACAGCTGATTAGATGTTGATATTAAAGCAAGGCGCGAATACTAAAAGTATAAGTACTTTTTATTCCAAACACAAAAGTGGTTATGCGGAAGCATATTGCGTATTGAAAATGTCAAAGAAAAATGTAATATTATTATCTAAGGTAAATGTACTGTACTTTAATCTTAAGGTTACCCACTTTTATGATTTGCTACTGACCGGGAAGGACCGCTGTTACACTTTGCTAATGACTGGGAAAGACCGCTGTTACATTCTGCTACTGACTGTCCGGGGGTCGTCGTTCTATCAGTAAATGTTACAATAGGATGTTTACGCTTTGGAGCTCAGATATTGGTGGTTAGCGTGCCCAGACTACGAATCTGAGAAATAATGGTTTGTGTTGTCATAAAAAACAGCACTCTGCACCAGTGTTCAAATTAGAATTTTGTATTCTACTTTGTAGTAGCTGCATAATACAACATAGCACTTCGAATCAGAAGACTAGGAACGCTAACGGCTTGAACTTCAAAAAGAGGAACGCCTTTCTGGATCGTTCCACCCCATTTTCGCCCGGCATGGCCAGGTGGTTAGGGCGCTCAACTCGCAATCTGAGGGTCGCGGGTTCGAATCCCCATCACACCAAACATGCTCGCCCTTTCAGCCGTGGGGGTGTTATAATGTGACGGCCAATCCCTCTATTCGTTGGTAAAAGAGCAGCCCAAGAGTTGGCGGTGGGTGGTGATGGCTAGCTGCCTTCCCTCTAGTCTTATATATTTTCTCCATTGACCTAGCTGGATCTATTAAGAACTGTTTCGTTTTAAAACTAAGTTTCCCACATTATCTTGTCGTGTGAGTTAATATATTACATACTATAACAGAAAACGTAAAATTTGCCTATACGATTCTTATCGATTCACCAACTATTATTTTTGTTTTTACCATAAAGTTATTTCTTAATAATGTTAACCGTCGTTTTAAACTCCAATGCTTTTTTTTTTCAGGAATTCGTACGCTCTATCAAATATTAACGGTTTGGCATTACATTTTTCCATCAACGCGAAGCCTTTAAATTAGATTTACCCTCTATGTGGTTTTCTGAGACCATTCAGTCTCCTACTTCCCAAAGTTTTTTAGCGCTTTAAGAGCGTAATAATCTAGTAATAACGCATCAAAAGATTTGACAAGTAAGCTTGAAAATATAACTGCGTTGATTACAGTCTAGTCGTAATCTTTTAACTTATGTCTGTGAGCAAACATTTTCAAAAATGAAGTATGTGAAGTCAGCACATCGAACGAGGTTGACTGATGAACACTTGAAAGCAATTCTCTTGGTTGGATGCAGCAATTCCAAAGCAAATATTGATGATATCTCAAAAGCAAAACGCCATTTTCACAAATCTCACTAACCTTTTTTGCTGCTTAGTTTGTGAGATTCGGATATCTGCGCACTGGGTGTGATATAACTATCTTATTGCTAACGTCGCCTTCTTTGATAACTTTTTGGTAAATAAACATGTTTATTGTCTTTATTTTTTGTATATTCACTGTATTGTATTGAACAAAATGGTTATGCGGCCCGCTGTGAAAAACGTTTGGTGACCTTTGGTCTAACTAACTCTAACTCAAGCAATGAGTTTATGAAAACTGAACGTTATTAAGTCATCACCAAACAGACTTACTTACTGAACTTATTTTTAGACAAGTAATCATGCTACATATATTTAATTTGAATGCTGATTTCATCAAACCTTCCGATTAATCCAATTGGCTGTTTGGGACCATTCATTTATTTGTTAGATTGAGTTTTTACTTGTTTGATTCGTTGCATGTCTTATTGGTTAATTTGATAAATATTTGGCTTGGAAATTATTTATTCAACGTTTTAGTAACTTATGGAGGTATCAGTCCATTCTTACTGTTTTTTTTTTGTTGTTGTTGTTGTTGTTTTTTTATTTTTAGCTACAAAGAATGAATTTCAAATATCTTAAACTGTAGCACACGTACAGCAGTTAATATTAAAACTAGCATATATTCAGCAGTTGCTATTAAAAATATACGTGCAGCAGTTATTGTTAAAAATATACGTGGGGTAGTTATTGTTAAAAATATACGTGCAGCAGTTAATATGCTTACAATACGTATAGCAATTGTTTATTGAAAATGTCTTACGCACATCAGTTGCTATAAAAATAATTACAACTAAAACTTAAACCTCTCACACTTACTAAACGTAGAGAGTTTTCAGTTCGGAAGCATAAGTTTAGCATCTGAATATCTAGTTTCTACTATTGCAAGCAAATGTCACTTCAAATACACCTTCGACTGCTGCAGTGTTTGGTTTTGGTATTGAAAGAGAAGCCTCCTAGATAGTGGCTTCTAGTAGACAAAAGATGGGTATGAACTTCTCTTTTATACACCACAGGTTGAAATTCCATAATAAACTAACTAACAGGGCGGTGCTAAAAACATAATGTCCAAAACAACAAGCAGAAACAGTTTAATAAACCAAGTACCTAGTGCCCTGATTCTACTTGACGGTGCCCCGAATCCCCAGATGGTGTACTGAGAAATTAGAATAGAAAACCATGATCGATATCATATTGAAACGCCGAAACTTCCTGGGCCTATGGGTCCGAGACCCGAATCTTTTAAGCACCTGGCGACGCCACTGGCGACAGGCATAGCACGGATAGTACATTATACAGCAGCTTTCCGCTAAAACAGACATGTTTTTACATATTGCTAAATTTTTGCCACAGCTTTTATACAAAAATAACTTGAACAAGAGATATAAAAAAAAATCATTGGTTATAATGATGCCACAAGCTTGAATCTCTATTATATCAGAAATGATTCAAGAAAAAACAAAAGCATTAAGGCCAGTATTCTTACATCCCAGTCCCAGAGCTCATCAAGTTGTTCAGCCCGCTGGGACTCTAGGAGCTTAAGTTGACTAGTGTCCTCCCAAGTATTCTTAGCATGACCTCTGGAAGGAGAAGGCCATCGAAATGGCGTAATCACGGATATTTCTTTTGTGATTTTGAAAGGAAAGACTAGTGTTATTATAAGAGCAGAATGCTTAAATTGTCATACTGTCGAACTTATCACCACCCCTTTTTCTATTGATCGCTTGTAGTGAACATATGAAATCAGGGTACAGATGGACAAAACACCAGTGATTACACACACCACCATTATGGAAGTGGCAATTATTACGTGAAACTGGAGAAAACGCAAACAATTATTACTTTATTGCATGATATTAACATTAGAATTTGTGCTAGTTGGTTTATTTCTAATTTTGCTAATAACACCATTCCGATACCGTAGTAACGCCGCATGCACTAACGCTATACTAGTCATGCTACCGATACGTCACGAAGCCCGCCAAATGGTGGTGAAATTAGAGCTTCCTGAAACCATAACATTGTAAGTCATTACCAATCAATGTATTATCGTTACCAATGGTGGCATAACTTCTAACTTGACCATTGAATGGCCAAAAATAAGTGTCCAAGGTCGGTTGTTTCTTAGCTTCGAATACAGATCTTGTCACTTCATAACTATTCACATTCTAAACTTGCCAAATTCTGTGACCTTTAACAATAAACGTTACTTGGAAGCCACCACTACACTTGTTAAAAATCATCTCGTTTGTTTGATTTGTTTGTTTGAAGTTAAACACAAAGTTACACAATTGGCTATCTGTGCTCTGCGTTGTAAGTCCGCAGACATACCGCTATGCCACTTGGGGCAAATCGTCTCATTACAGCAGTGTTATTCGCGCTTTAATCAAGTTTCAAAAAAGGTAATACTTCACATTCGATAGTTAAGTAACCAAAAATCAAACATTTTAAATCTTATGAGGCTACATCTCTATTACGAAGTTGGGGAGGTTAAACACTTTATTTAGAGAATAAAGAAATTACACAGCGTATTTTCCATAAAAAAAAATCTTGACCTTAAGATTCAAAATAGTACATTAAAAGTAGCATACAGCTGCGCACCAGTGTGAAGTATTAGGTTAAATATCTGCAGCCAGCTACCATACAAACAAAGTATGTTACCATTATTAAGATCAGTGTAGTTACATCAAACATATTGGCTTTCTAGTTAACAGTTCTTGTAACGGTAGTTTCTGTGACATTACGTCACAAAAACAACTGCTTTTATATGTGTTTTCAATAAGAATTACAGTATTTCACCTTATACTCTTGCTTACTTCATGCCGCTGCCTCAAGTCCTCTCGCTCAATAGAAGATCCCATTAAGTCAACTGGGTTTGCAACACACAAAGCCTCAACTGAAACGCTATTTATATTATTCATTTTTGAGTATTATGGTATATAATGCTAAGCTGATGAGACGTGAGTTGTTGATTGGTAGTTGGTGTTATATTACAGGAAATCGGTATAATGCCAGTTAAAAATAAGTGGCTGAAATTAGTATTATTCTGATGCAATATTACATTAACTACAAATCATAATACACGCTTCATTTGTTAAGGAATTATACACCATAAACCTTAACTGGCTTTTTTGTCTTTATGTTTAACATTGTGTAATTAAATGAGATATATCTCTTACTTGAAGCACACTTGGTGTGAAAAACAAGAATGGTCTTATTTTATCTTGTTTATTCCAATATTGGTATATTCCTGTTGTCTCTCGATAAAATAGCTTCAGATCATTCTGTTGTTATTTATAATCTCTCATGTTTTCGATTTCTGGTTTGCTAGGAGTAATATCGTGAAAAACAAGGCTACACCTATTATCACAGTTTTGTTTTTGTATTACAAGCCTAAAGCGTTTATCCAACACAAAAATTAAAAGAAATTTTGTGTCCGCAATCTCACCTCTCTGTCGAACTCTTAAATTCAGTTCTCTGTCTGAAGATTCGGCTGCTCTTTGAATTAACTTTTCGATCTAAAAGTAGAATAACAGTAGTTATATCGTAATGTTTTTAAACGTGAATATTATTAATCAGTAATTCATTTATAAATAAACAATAACATTATATTACTCCAGATGCTATGTGAAAGAACTTTAAGCAAAAAAAAGTACAATTTCGATTCTATGAACCTGTATTTTTTAATAATTCGGAAAAATGTCTCTTCATTATAATGACGTAGCTAAGAACAAATCTTGGAGTTTCAATAATAAATAAGAGGATCCTCCTATAGTATACCTTCACAAACATTTGTCCCAATACATAGGATTGTACAGTGTCAAATAATGTTATGTTAGAAATGTTTAACTTTGGATAGTAAGGTCAGCCTCATCAGTGGTTGATAAAGTTTGAGTTTTTATCATTACGTAATATTTTATCAAATAATGGCCTATTGTATGGGTAGAGTAGTTTTTCTCAACATAACTTTATAGACGATATTTCGTGAAGTTTTAGTTCTAGAAAAAATTCTAAGGAAAGTTTGATAAACATTTAATGTAAACATCAAAAAATTAATAGCAGTACATTTCTTTAAAAAACACTACTCAGACTTTTAAGTGTTTACCTCATCCTGTTTAAGTCCACGAATGTCGTTGTTATTGACTGATAAAATTTGATCACCTTCATTTAGCTGAGGTAGACATGTATCAGCTGGTGAGTTCAAAATAACCTTTGATACAACAACCGGATTATTCTTCTCTGCTTCAATCTAAATGTCCAAAAATGAAAGAAATGATAGTCTTAATTAACTATTGCGCGAAAAATGTATAAACAGGGAAAGACATGTACCGTCTGTGTAAAACCGACAAACGGATAAGTATAGCAACTCACAGTTATTATAGTAAAACGTTAAAAACGGACTCTAGCATTTCAAGAAACTTTTATTCGCACCAAAACTGAAATAATTGAACGTTGAATAATTGATAAAAACAACGTTTCGCTAGTATTTACAATGCATTTGGTGAACATTGGCGAAACATTTATTTTAACTTTGTTTTTTTTTAATTATTCCAATTTTTTAGTCAAATACAAGTCCTAACAGAAAGTAAAGGACGCTTGGTTTTTCTTGACAGCATTCTTTAGTTTAACAAACACAAGTTAATTCTAAATCATACACTTAAATATTATATTCCTTTAACGAGCTCAAATGTAAAATAGTTTTGACGAATTATTGAGTTGTCTTTTGTCATCTAACCATAGATGTTACTTCGCAAGGTTCTGATACATGAGAGCACTACTCTACAATACAGCACAGTATATCTTAGCACTTGAGTTTAAAACATACAGCATTCTTTAGTTTAACAAACACAAGTTAATTCTAAATCACACACTTAAATATTATATTCCTTTAACGAGCTCAAATGTAAAATAGTTTTGACGAATTATTGAGTTGTCTTTTGTCATCTAACCATAGATGTTACTTCGCAAGGTTCTGATACATGAGAGCACTACTCTACAATACAGCACAGTATATCTTAGCACTTGAGTTTAAAACATACGTTTGACTCCTACTCTTTCTCATATTTAAGCCTTCGTTTAGCAAGTAACATCTCGACTCGTTCAGCTCGGTAAGTAATATTTTTACAAATTCTGTACATATTATTCTACACTGTTTCTCTCTCTCTAGATATTCATATACGTTTGTGTGTGTGTGCTCGTGCACACACACATTACTGTTTGACCGAGCGTGGTTCTGTAGTTAGCATACAGAACTATAGATCTGTGGGTTCATAATTTGCCTTTCGTTATCATAAAAAAACATTGTCCTTCGTACTTGGAATTCGTGGGTGCGTTATATGGGTGACGGTCAAATCCCATTCTTTTTACATACAAGAGTAACCCTAAAGTAAGCGGACAGTGCTGGTGCGTTCACTGTCTGCCGTCCGTCTAGTTAAGGGACGTTATATGGGTGACGGTCAAATCCCATTCTTTTTACATACAAGAGTAACCCTAAAGTAAGCGAACAGTGCTGGTGCGTTCACTGTCTGCCGTCCCTCTAGTTAAGGGACGTTATATGGGTGACGGTCAAATCCCATTCTTTTTACATACAAGAGTAACCCTAAAGTAAGCGAACAGTGCTGGTGCGTTCACTGTCTGCCGTCCCTCTAGTTAAGGGACGTTATATGGGTGACGGTCAAATCCCATTCTTTTTACATACAAGAGTAACCCTAAAGTAAGCGAACAGTGCTGGTGCGTTCACTGTCTGCCGTCCCTCTAGTTAAGGGACGGATAATTCACATAGTCTTGAGTAGCTTTGCGCGAATATCCGACAAACAAACAATACAATTGTTATAAAATGCATAAATATAAATACGAAAAAACAAACTTTAAACATTTACTCAATTATTATTATAATAAGTTCAATCAACATATTCTTACGATCTTCTTCTATTTGCTTTTTGTTTTTCCAAATATCTACTGATTATTAACTTAAAGTGTGGAGAGGAAACGCTTTCGTAACTTTACACTTACGCAAAGTTTGTTTGTCTGACTGTTGAAAAGCACAAAACTACACAATAAACAACCTATGTTGTGACCATAGCGAGTACTGAAGCCGGATTTTTAGCGACATAAACCCTCATGCTTACCGCTAAGTCTCCGGGGAAATTTACTTATGGTATTGAATAAGATCTTGAATTGCTAAAATTATCGGTACCCTTTCGTGATATTGAATAGGGATAATTTCAAACACTTTTTTATGGATTTGCGTAAATTGTAAGAATACAATGTAATTTACAAACTAAAAGGCCCAACATGGCCAGGTGGTTAGGGCGCTCGACTCGCAATCTGAGGGTCGCGGGTTCGAATCCCCGTTACACCAAACATGCTCGCCCTTTCAGCCGTGGGGGCGTTATAATGTGACGGTCAATCCCACTATTCGTTGGTAAAAGAGTAGCCCAATAGTTGGCGGTGGGTGATGATAACTAGCTGCCTTCCCTCTAGTCTTACACTGCTAAATTAGGGACGGCTAACTCAGATAGCCCTCGTGTAGCTTTGCGCGAAATTCAAAAAACAAACAAACAAACTAAAAATAAATTTTGGAGTTACGAAAATGGTTCTTTTTCCTACCATTAAACAATAACTGTGATTTACAAGAAAGGAGAAATCATAAACTTACAAAAAAAAAGTGAAATATTTTTATCTTTGAATTTCAATTTATTAATTCAAATACACTTTGTGGTACTATTACTGTTTTCTTACGCAAAGACCCCCCACCAGCTCAGTGATAATTCTGACGGCTTATAATGCTAGAATCCGGGTTTCAATACCTGTAGTGGGCACTACAGAGGTAGCCCACGTTGTAGCTTTGGGCTTAATAGAAAACAAACAAACAAATTATTGCGCAATTCTTATACATAACTTTGCTCATTGCGTCACGTTTAACCAACTTTGATTCATGGTGTATTTTTTGTCGTGAGTCTACATTGAATTACTGACGTAACTTGAGCAACCTTGTATGTGCATATTGTGTCTGTTTTCTCTTTAACAAAACATTTGTTTAAACGGAAATGTCTTTATACTCCTGGGCCAAGCGTCGCTCAGTGGTTAGTGTGCCGGACTGTGGATCTGCCGAACCACCATTCGTGTTCTGTTACCGTAACAAATCAATAAGTAAATAAAAACGCGGTTTGGAGCCGTGGACCCAATTATTCGTTTAGGCAAGAATGGCCTAAGAGTTGGCAGTTGATGCTGTTGACTTGCTGTCTTTCCTGTAATTTATCAGTTCAAAATTAAGGACGGCTTTCGCAGATAGCTCTTGAGTAGTTTTGCGCGAATATCCGAAATAACAAACAAACTTTTTACTCCTTCGTTTAAGTTGCTAAAGGTATCGCTTGATGACATTTGAACCTAAAAATTGGTACTATATTATTTTTATAAAATATACACCATATTAATTTAATTATATATACAATTTTTAACACATAAGAAATTAACAAAATTTTTACTCCTTCGTTTAAGTTACTAAAACAGTTGAACCTAAAAATTGGTACTATATTAATTTTTATAAAATATACACCATATTAATTCAATTGTATGTACAGTTTTTAACACATAAAAAAAACTGATGAATTAATTTTACTACCAAAACAACTGCAAGTAATTTCAAGACGCGGATTTCCTATGAGGTGGCGCTCCACATCATCGTGTTTCACATTAGTGCCCTAAATGCTAAATACAATCTAAAATATAAGAGTTGTAGAAAATATTCGAATATCCTGAAACATATTTAACGAAAATGTTACTCGATGCACTACCAGGTGGCGTGCCTTCCTTATATAATAACAACAGATAAGTGTGGAACAATTACTTTCTTTAAGAACGTATATAGTGTGATCAACTTCACAGCATCATATGTATGTCGAAATCTGATAAATTCATACAACATATTTGACAATTTATAAAAACTTTACTCACCCTAAGGTTGAAGCCAAATATCTGCTGTCTATCTGCTTTCATTTTGATTGTCACTATACCATCAGTATTATCTGGACCATATGTCTAGAAAATATTTTCATCATTAAACGATAATGTCATTATATAGTTAAAACTAATAATATATGTATATAGATATATAAATGCAAAATCAATTTCATGAATTATTTTTCATGGAATCTTTCTATTAAGTTAATATTCTTACTTGTATTAACTAGTACGAGTTTTAAAACATAGGATAACTAAATGCCTACCAGAGGTTCCTCTGTCAGAAAGATTTCTCATTGTGAGTTTTTAGACTTGCCTTTAAAACATGTTCTTTGTTTTAAAATACTATATTTTGAGTTAAAGGAAGAAAATAATAATATCAAATTGTCCATGAAATTTTCCTTTAACACAAAGGTGTCATCAGTTCAGGTCATTTATTGGTTTGGAAGTACAGAGTAGGCCCTTTATCTGGCCCGGCATGGGCAGGTGGTTAGGGCGCTCGACTCGCAATCTGAGGGTCGCAGGCTCGAATCCCCGTCGCACCAAACATGCTCGCCCTTTCTGCCGTGGGGGCGTGATAAAGTGACGGTCAATCCCACTATTCGTTGGTAAAAGAGTAGCCCAAGAGTTGGTGGTGGGTGCGCGAAATTCAAAAAACAAACAAACAAACCAAATCTGACTTAAGTCAGTATAGTCATAAAAATTAGAAAATTCTTTAACAGAAAGTCAGAGAAGGATTATTAGTTCATTCTCTCTCTTCGATTTTTTTCTTCTATGAAATAAATATTAAATTCACGTCATAAAAATGAAAAGTAACAAATATATATTTAATCGTAAGATGAGATTTTTTTATTCCCATACTCATTAAATGCTAAATTTCATGTAATTGGAAAACCCCATTATCCCGTACTTCAGAGAAGATTTTTTAATTTATGACAAGGTAAGTAATTTAATACAGTGAAATAATTTTATATCATCTGAAAATTATATTTTTTTTAAATTTTGCCATGGACCTCAAAATACTGTACAAAGTACGTAATATCAGTTAACTACATTTTACATTTAATTTTTGACAATGTAAACGTAACGTGGTTCGTATTTAATATCTTCTAAGTTGCCATAATAAAAGTTAGATAAAGGAATTAAATAGAATATTCGATGTATATGAAACCAGCTCTAATGTACCAATCCTTTTAACCGTGAAATTTATCAATGTGCAAAGATTAAAAGCAAATATCAATCAATGGATTATACATATATTAAAACGATATCAATAAAATTCTATAATTAAGTGTATAACATGATTAGTATCTATATTTTTTATATAGAAATAAAATTACCCCTCTTGATTTTTAGTGATCAAGGAAGAAAAAATGCTTTAAACTTCCTCCAACAAGAGGGCGTGTGTCTTGATTTAGAGCAAAGCCATATTGGGCTATCTTATGTGTGCAACACAGGGAATTGAACCTTGAATTTTAGTGTTGCAAATCCGTAAAATTACCGCTGTCTCACCGTAAACTAGTCATATACTGTACAATTAAACGAACTAAAAATACTAGTCTTAAGGGGTTTTTTTTAGTTTTTAGCACAAAACTACACAAACCAGTAAATGACCTGAACTGATGCACACACAGCAGAGATAAAGGGCTTGCTTGTTTGTTTGTTTTTGAATTTCGCGCAAAGCTACACGAGGGCTATCTGCGCTAGCCGTCCCTAATTTAGCTGTGTAAGACTAGAGGGAAGGCAGCTAGTCATCACCACCCACCGCCAACTCTTGGGCTACTCTTTTACCAACGAATAGTGGGATTGATCGTCACTTTATAACGCCCCCACGGCATGTTTGGTGTGACGGGGATTCGAACCCGCGACCCTCAGATTGCGAGTCGAGTGCCCTAACCACCTGGCCATGCCGGGCCATAGATTTGGTTTGAAGAAACTTATAGTTTCGGAGGTTAGAAATATTTTAACCAAATGATAATCTTTAAGCTAAACAAACAAATACACAATATTATCCCCATTGCCCCCCCCCCAGTGGCACAGCGGTATGTCTGCGGACTTACAACGCTAGAATCCGGGTTTCGATACCCGTGGTGGGCAGAGCACAGATAGCCCATTGTGTAGCTTTGTGCTTAATTACAAAACAAACAAACACAAACTTATCTAATCAGTTTATACTAGAACCAAACATAATATGAATTATATACAGGACTCATGAGAAACGAATACAATAACTACTGAGATCAACTTTGAAAAACAGTTTTTTTTTATTCACCAAGATATTGTCGATTTATAAAACAAATTACTTCAGGTTTGAAGATTTAAATGATAACAAGATATAAAAGTGGTATAATTTGTTGAGAAAAGAAACAATTTAGATTTATATGCTTATTCAAACGAAATAAAAATGTATTGCGACAGTTTTTTATTTTAAGAGCTCAAAATCAAACGTCTCTTTTGTGATTCTAAGGGTAGAAATCGTCGTAAAAGGATAAAACATTGACACTCTTTTTAGTTCCAGATCAAACAGCTTTATGCATACTTTTAAGTTTCGACATTATCGTATAAGCATAAAACATATTTTTATATATTCGCACAAAACTTGGATTTCTTTATTTTGCTATGGACTCGATCGTGACGTTTGTAAATTCTTATATCAGTCATTTTCATGACGCTAATTTATATTTTCTCATAATTTTTATTGTTGTACTTCTTATAAACACGCTAGCAATCAAGCCTTTGTGAAACGTAGCTTTTAATTTCAGCATGTTTCAGTTGCAGAAACCTTTATTCAACAGAAGTAATTCCAGCTGATTTTGAGAGTTGAGGCCTCTAACTAAAACATATATTTTTCAATATAATCTCTCCGTCATCTTTTTTTGTTTATTTGTATAATTGGCTTTGTCTACGTGTTCGGTTTGTGTTACAGGCGCTTTTTTTTAATATTCCAGCATCAATTTCCCTCAGGCTAAGGTTATTGGTACTTTAACAGTGTAATCTGTACTTGTTCTTCTAGAAAGTATATCACCGGGTATAAACATGTTAGAACGAGGACTTTCCTTCTGTACGTTCTTCATTAGATGAAACAATGGAACCTTTATTTTTCCTGCTTAGAAATCTAGTTGTTTCTTGTCTGTAGCTAGCTTATTCAGTGCAACACACTTGTAATTAGTAAATGAGCTTTGAAAATTGTCTTTTAACAATCTCTTAAGAATGGCAAGCATAATAACTGATTCCATTAACTTTTACTGCTGAAACGTTTTGATTGTAACAAGCTATGCCATATCTGTTGTTGTCGGAGGAAAAATCGCGGATGTTTGTAAAGTTGCTTGATTTCCAGAGTATTATGCCATTGTAAATCAGTTTCTTACCTGTCAAACGCGTAAAGTTAGTGACGCTGATAATTGTAAATCAGTTTCTTACCTGTCAAACGCGTAAAGTTAGTGACGCTGATCGGAAATAGAACAATTATGTAACATGGTATATAACCTTGTGAAAAAGATTTCATTTTAATTAAAAGCGATTTCCCAACATAGATTTAAACGTATCACATAATTCCTTATATATACATATAACAAATAGGTAGCGTACATTTCTCAAATATTCGTGATACTAAACAATAACACTCCTAATATGTTCCACTTCTGTGTATTCAGAAATCAAGTTGACGTAACATAAGCCGATGAACTATGCTCTACTGAGTGTTCATCGTCTTCTATAAAAGGAAATAAGTCTGTTGTCAAAACGTCACGGCAAACGTTTTGTATATACTTATATAGTATGTAATGAACTTTAAATGAAACTTTTTTTTTCCAAGTGAATTATTTGGGAACTTAAAACTAGATATATTTGCGTAGGGTGCCAGGAAGTGTACTGTTTCAAGAGTAAATAAAACCGAAATTAACAGTACCAAATGTTTTTTTCTTGCCTTTCAAGTTCGTATGTAACGCTGTATTGTAGCCTACAGAGTGCATAATTCTTATCGTGATTCATGACATGGGAACGTTTTACTGTCGTGACGACAGTACAAAGTGCAACGTTAAGCATCCGTTATGTAACTTCATTTTAGTGTTTACTGGCTCACTGACAGACAGACGACACACTACTATATAGTGGTGCGACTGATTAAACCAGGCGAACCCTCCAGGCGGCCTTCGGGGTCCGTTTCGGGGAAATAACTGTTTTCACATAAACACGTTTGGTAATTTATACGTTGTGTAGTAAATCTTTTACAACAATTAGGAGTGTCTCATGCGCTGTCCTTTCCATATCGCGATTTGTCACCATGGAAACTGTTCAGAACTACCTCTTGTGAAATTCACAGTACAAATACTATCAAAATTATAGATATCGTCATGAGTCATATTTGTCAGTTTTTCCCAACTTATCGTCGTTTTTTTCTTGCAATTTTTTAGTTGACTAATAGACGTGAATATACAATTGTTCACAATTGGATAGCCGTGTAAAGTGTACGAGCATAGAATTGTAGTTTTTAACGCCTGTATTTTAGTTTTCTAAGAAATTTTCTTAGTCTGGCTAAATAGCCGAAGATGAATAAGTTGTTTTTTTTTCTTTAGTTGAAAGTAAACTTGTACAGTAACTTAAGATTAAAATTGTTAAGTTTCCACCAAGTAAAGATTATTCCCACATATTACATTGTGAAATTTCAACATCGGAATTGGACAAATATTTTTAAAAAGCTTTGGAGTAATTTGCAAACTTCAGAACATGTGATTTTCTTTCTCATAGGCAACAGGTTACACAGCTTTGTGATAGAGAAGACGTGTGCGTGTATTGTGTGTGCTTCTACGTATATTTGTGTGTTGTACATATGTGTTTATATATTTATATTTAAATCTGGAACACTGGTTCAATACACGGATTAAACCCGAACAGGTGACTTTGGATATCAGAGCGCTTTTTGTTTAAGTACCTGCAATGAAGTTTCCAAGAAAAACGATTACGAGCCTGCTGCAGCGATCGTGTTTTAACTTGCTTTGCCGTATTTAAACCGGTTTGAAGAGTGCCGTATATAAAAGGGACTGACTTCAGTGAATTATGTCAGATCTCGACAGAATTGA